TATATCACCTTTCCGATGAGTTAAAGCTCCAGGGTTTGCTCTAGCTCCGTACCTCAACCTAATTAAGATCTACACGTGCAGTAGGCCAATGTCGGAACCTTTATCTCCGCCTTACTCCGTCCTGGACACGCCTCCGGGTCATTCAAGCACTTCAAATATACCTTTTCCATCCGTCTATAGAGTCCCCACTCTAAATGAATAGAAATATTAACTCTTTTTGTCAAGATCTCCGACAAAAAGGTTTTGTTGTTCAGTCCTTTTGACTAAAAGACCGAAAATAAACTCCGTGTTAAATATTTATAACATGTTGGTAGGTAAGTATGATACTAAATAATTCTTTGTAATATCCTAATATAAACCGTTGGAAGGATGAAGTATGGAGAGTAAATAGTTTAAGTGACGGTTAGTTTCTTAGATTTGAGGACTGTTGGATATATTACAGATCAGTGGGTTGTAACATAGTATTTCCTCAGCTTTCATTCTTCCAACTTCATCCCTGGCATTCCTGCAACGTTCTTCAGCCCAACAGTTGTCGGCGTTTATATCAATACAGTAAAGACGACTTTTCAATATAAGTTTTGATTAACGTAAAAAAAGAAAATGTCTTATTTGACAGCTTCTCTTTGTTTTCCTTGTTATGTGTATCCATGTTGTTTGAAAGCTTGGTAGAATTGAATATTGAAACCAAAACGCCTGTATGTTAAACATTAAATCTAACGCTTTGTTATGAATATCTATAATTATGACAGCTTTATATATTTGTATGCAGGGTTTTACCCACAACGGATGAGAATCAGAGACGACTGTATTGAATTTTGTTCACTTTTATTTCTCATATTTAAAGATTCCTTGTCCGAATGTAATGAATTTAAGCTGCGTCTCAAATCCCCCCAAAACCGGTTTCAATTGAGCGCCGGCTTAAATCTTGAAAATTTTAATACAATTTTAAATGAAACCAACCATATTTGAGCCGCGGCTTCAATTTAAGTCGCGGCTCAAATTCTTTAAATTTGGCCTCCTGCCGCTGTAAACTTGTCTATTTATTTGATATTAAGGGCAGCAACGCTAGTTAAATCGTCCGATCGTTATATTTAAAGAGTTTTAGGTCGGCATTAAAGTTTGATCCTTTGTTGGTATAGGTACCCTGTACATGAATGTTGGTATAGGTACCCTGTATTTGAATGTTGGTATAGGTACCCTGTACATGAATGTTGGTATAGGTACCTTTTACATGAATGTTGGTATAGGTACCCTGTACATGAAAGTTGGTATAGGTACATGAAAGTACTTCTTATCATTGATACATTCAGCTTATTATTAAATTTATCATTTTTGATAGTTTTACATTAGATATTTCATAAATGATATCTGATATGTGTAATGTGTGTTGTATAACACTGTACAGGGTTTCCCCAATAAACATAGATCCTCTTCAGTCTGCTCTAGATATACACAGACTGCTCATAAGGTTTCCCTAGATAGGTTAAGCAGGCCTATAGTTGTCCCGGCACGACATGCTACATTTCCACGAAAGGTTTTTGACTTCCATCTAACGACCACTTGTTGCATAGAAAACCCATTCAAGTCATTCAGGGGTTAAGTTTTACAATTTTTAAAGACATACCATAACTTTTAACATAAAATATTTATGAATTCTAAGAATCCAAGGAGGCGTTAAGCGCCGTGAATTCATCTGTCCTGCATGGGTGGCAGGGCGAACCCGTATTTTCAAGAGAAGTAACAAACACCAATTATAGATTTGCCATCCCATCAATCTTAAAGGGCGATACCTATAATTTTGCAAGCTCTTGACTATGCAAACATTTTATTAATTCAAACAGAAGTCTAATGCAAAAATAACCTTACCTCAAACTTAACTTTTCTGACCCCCTATATCATATATATGCAACTTTTGATTTTCAAAATTTTAGTTTGATTTAGTAAAATTGATGGTTTGAAATTATGACTTCAGGTTGTATGGGTATAAGGATTAACAAATTTGATTACGAGACAAGTTTTTAGTTTCTTTGGATCGTTGATGTTGTTGTTGTTGTTGTTATTTTTAATAATCAAAATAATTCTGCAAAAAAATGCGAATACTTTAAAACTTTTCTAAATTAGAAAAATAAAGAATTAGCGTTGGAACCCAGCTCTACCTGGATACTAAACTTCAACTACAGTGGTAGGCAATTATATCAATAAAATGAACACGACTTTCGATTTCAATATTGATTTATCAAGCTTTTAAACAGCATGGATACATATAAACCATGGAATCAAGGAGAAGCTGTCAATTAGATGAATACAGATAAACATGGAATCAAGGAGAAGCTGTCAATTAGATGGATACAGATAAACCATGGAATCAAGGAGAAGCTGTCAATTAGATGGATACAGATAAACCATGGAATCAAGGAGAAGCTGTCAATTAAAAAAGCTTCTCCTTAATTACTTGTAAACTTGTAATTTGAAAAACCTTGTTAACAGCTAAAACTTACATAAAAAAGTCGTCTTCATTCTATTGATATAATCGACGAACACCGTATAAAAGTAAACCCACTCAACTTTAAATTTTTAAAGAAAGCAAAGAACATTTCTGTGGTTCTACGAAGTACTCTAATAAAATTTAAGGCAAATCGGTCAAGAGGCGTATAAGGTCGGACATACAAACAAACAGAAAAACAAACATAAATTACTACTATATGTAAAGTTGAAAATTAAAAATATTATAAATTCACCTCTGTCGTTTTTTTCTTCTCAATACTTCTGTTTCTTGTGAAAACTGAGCTTAGTAGTTGCATTATTTTTAATGGTCAATTATTAACATTTTATGAGATCCTTTATGTTTGAATGAGAATTAGCGGAATATTTAATGGATGGTGAGTGCAGGCTGCTTGTACACAGGGTACACTCATTTAACTTTTCCGACCTTATCCCAGCAAGCTGTCACTTTCGATCCCAACTTGACTATTTAAACATACATTTTACGTTTTTTTTGCTGTAAGTTGTTGAATTTTAGACCAAAATACGATTGAATTTTAATTGAGGAATCATCTAGCCCTGTTATTATTAAAAGCATCAAAACTTGATCACTAAACATCTTTGCTCTTTCTGTTGTAATTTGTATATTTTTGAAAACTGAGTTTTGGGGCAGTAATTTTAGAAAATTAGATATTTTGACTATATAATTTCTTTAATTTAATTAAATAAGGCTTCAGATCTAGTTAAACGAAGAATCAAAATAATGGTTTATTAATTATCCCTGTATATGGCTTGATCATATCCACAAAGTTCTTAGCCTTTGTATCCTTAAACTTGACAAAAACAGATCAAAGGAATTGAGTCTTTGCCTCAAACTCAAATTTTCGATTCCCTATATTTTGGTACCCTGAAGGTGTAAGCCTTTAATATTTCAATATTTTATCTAACAGAATTTATAGTTTGAACTATATAAGATCTATGGCATCGGATTGCCAAGATATAGGGATTAGATAATCAGAGTTTCTGGAAAAGACTCAATTCCTTTAATTGGGTTGGAATTAAATTTACTGGTGGAAAATGAACTTTTGGAAAGATACAATGAAGTCTAAAACTTTTTTGTATAGTTTTAAACTTTAACATTATCGTCGTTATATTCAGTATCTTTTTTCAAATCTAGGTCTTGATTATTTTCTTAACTTAAATCCAATTTCCAGGTTTAAGGGTTGTCCGACCTTTGTCCAGGTTCTCCAGGTTCTCAAGTTCTCCAGGTTCTCAAGTTTTCTATGTTCTCCAGTTCTCCAGATTCTCAAGTCCTCCAGGTGTTCTATGATCTCTAAGTTTTCAGGTTCTACAGAGTTTCAAGTTCTTCTGGTTCTCAAGTTATCCAGGTTCTCAAGTTTTTCATGTTCTCACGTTATCTTGTATCTCAAGTTATCCAGGATCTCAAGTTCTCCATGATCTCAAGTTATCCATGCTCTTAAGTTCTCCACGTACTTAAGTTGTCAAGGTTTCTAAGTCCTTCGGGTTTTCTATATTCTCTAAGTTTTCAGGTTCTTCAGGGATTCAAGTTCTTCTGGATCTTAAGTTTTCCAGGATCTCTAGTTCTCCAGGTTCTCTAGCTCTCTGGTTCTCTAGCTCTCAGGGTCTCTAGCTCTCAGGTTCTCTAGCTCTCAGGTTCTCTAGCTCTCAGGTTCTCTAGCTCTCAGGGTCTCTAGCTCTCAGGTTCTCTAGCTCTCAGGTTCTCTAGCTCTCAGGTTCTCTAAGTTTTCAGGTTCTTCAGGGTTTCAAGTTCTGCAGGTACTCAGTCTCAAGGTGCTCAAGTTTTCTAGGTTCTCAATTTTTCCAGGTTCTCTAAGTTCTCTAAGTTTTCAGGTTTTTCAGGGTTTCAAGTTCGTCTAGTTCCCAAGTTCTCTAGGCGCTTATGTTCTTCAGGTTTCCAAGTTCTCAAGGTTCTGTTTTCTCCTGTTTGTTTAGGTTCTCTTTGTCCTCCAGATTTCCTTGTTCTCCAGGTATCCAGGTTATACAGGTCCATGTGTAAAGAGTGTTAGGTTCCCGGAGATTACTTTATTCTGCTACTTACAAACATTAAACTCGAGATGGGATGCTTTTAAGGGGGCTCTAAGAAGAAAAATGAGGGGGGGGATTAAAATATAAAAAAGTTTTCTTCATTTGAAATCTTTTGACAAGTTCAATGTTATTAAATTATCATCGGTAATTATTAGGAATCCATGGGTCAAATCTTGGTTGACTTGAAGGTATGATCAAGTAGCCCCTGCACCCACCATTTAACCCCCCTCAACAGTTGCCTGGAGCGGGCACAGGGCAGTTTAGGCACTTGCCTTCACTTGTGGGATCTGGGGTTGAGACCCGTTCCCACGGTTTAGCTCCTGACGGAACGTGTCACGACTTCCCGCGCCGGCTCAGGCAGTTTACAGCCAGCTCTGCGGCGCAAGAAGAACCTACTGAGATCTTGGCCCGGCTCGACACCTTTGGAGCAAGGTCCGGGCTCAACTCCAGATTTTCAATTGATCTTAAACCTGAGAACCGAGCAGTTATAACTCTTATCCTACGATGGAAGAATTAGATATTGGAACGAATTTTGATATCCACGGTGAAATGACGGAGACACCTATGTCTAGAACTCATCAATATCGGAAAGTGATGAAACCTCTCCTGGAACGGAAGAGAAGGGCACGGATCAACAAGTGCTTGGATGAACTTAAAGATCTGATGGTTCATGCACTTCAACACGAAGGAGAAAATATAACAAAGCTGGAGAAAGCTGACGTGTTGGAGTTGACTGTGAGACACTTGAGGAAGCTGAAGAGACAGCAGATGTTGGCCTTGAACCCTGGACTTGATCTGGATAGATTCCATGCAGGATATACTGCCTGTGCTACTGAAGTTAATCGTTGTATGTCAAATATATCTGGAGTTGACGGAGCCATGAATAACCGTCTTATGAACCATCTTGGACAAAGATTAACATCATACGAAGCTGTGAGTCAAATTCATCCCGGAGCACCTCAACCAAACCTTCTTACTTCTCACCAGGTTCCTCTTACAGTAGTTCCTCCCCAACCTAACCTAAGCAATTCCAAACTATCTCCATACACAGACTCAGATCATGGTTACAACAGCGGAAGAGACTCTTCTCCTTCTCCGACACAGGATATCAAAAGAGAACCTGAGTCTGTCTGGAGACCGTTCTAGAGAATCTGAACCTGTCTGGAAACCGTTCTAGAGAATCTGAATCTGTCTGGAGACCGTCCTAGAGAATCTGAACCTGTCTGGAGACCGTTCTAGAGTATCCGAACCTGTCTGGAGACCGTTCTAGAGAATCTGAATCTATCTGAAAATCTTAGTTGTCGGATAATCCCCTGCTCATTTGATCTACTGAGCATAAAGTTCAAATCTTGTAAAAAAAAAATCATGCAATGTCTTCCATATGCAGCCTTATTCTATATAATCTTGACTAATGTTTCATCCTTATCTGTGATATTTAAAATATAATTCAAATCAAGATCAAAGTTTTTATCTGAACCGTGAGAGAAACAAGTTTAGGTTTATCTGAAGTATCCGGTCTTATGTTGATGTACGTTAGCTTTGTAGGTGAACAGTTTGAGAAATGAGCTTAAAGTGAGCAATCGGCGGGGGGGGTTTTGTTATTATTTTATATTGTACATAGAATTTCAGGTTTCTTGGTTCCTATGCTAGAATATTCCTATGATTAGAATTCTTTGTTCCATGGTTCCTTTGCTAAGAATATTACTAATAATAGAGTTCCAGGTTCCATGGTTCCTATGTTTGAATTTGCATATGGTTCCTATGCTAGCATATTTGGGGGGGGGGTTAAAACTGTTATCAAGCGTTATTAGTACACACATATATATTCCTTTTTCCTTTAATTTAGATCCATCTAAATATCTTGTCCATAAATTTTCATATTTTATGTATCCAAGCGTAAGATATAGTGTGCATAATATTTGTATGTACACTGTACAAGTGTAGTTGTATGGATGTGTAGAATGTAATTGTGTATGTGTGTGCACATATAGCGTAGTTAGGTACTTTCTCAAGTGGCAACTTCCGAAATGTGCAATTTCCCAATCGGCAACTTCTCAAATCTGTCCTAGCCGCAGCTAGCGCGGCCCCCCAGCCTGTTCTAGTCGGGGCGCTCGGCCCCTTAGCCCATATTAGCCGTAGCGCTCGGCCCCCATTGTAGTCTGCGGCGCCTAACCTAACCTTTGGGAAGTTGCCACTTGGGAAGTAGCCCTTGGGAAAATGTCTTTTGGGAAAGTATCTATCACCGTTTTATGTATGAAGGGTGTCATGGTGTATAATGTAGAGTGTAGCTATATGTGTAGTGAAGATGTATGTATGTACGCATGTTGATAGTAGCTGTATGTATGTACGTATGTATAAGAGTAGTTGTATGTACATTTGTATCGTATATTAGAGTGAAGCTGTTTCATGTATGTATGCAAAGTGTAGTTGTTTGTATTCATGTATGTAGAGAGTATAGTTGTATCACTTGTATGTACATTTGTAAAGTATTGTAAAGCGTGGGGTGGGGGGGGGGGAGGGGGGGGTAAACTGTTATCAAGCTTATCAGTACTGATCAGTACACACATATATATTCCTTTTTTCTTGAATTTAGATCCATCTAAATATCTTAGATCATAGAGTTTCACCGTTAGTAATGTATCTAAGCGTATAAAATTGTTCGGTGTACATAATTTATAGTTGTATGTATGTATGAAAAGTATTGAAAAATGTTGTTGCATGTATGTACTTATGTAGAGTGTAGTTGTATGTATTTATAGAGTGTACAGTGTAGTTATATGTATTTATAGAATTAAGTACAGTGGAGATGTATAAATAGAATTGTACAGTGTATTGTACAGTGTACGTGTTTAATTAGGGCCACAAAAATTAAGGCTGTAAAAAATTGAAATTAAAATTTTAATAAAATTCTAGAAATTTTTTTAAATAATGATTTAAAATTAAACACGAGCAGGAGAGGTTTCAACTTTATACCTCTCTCACACGAGCAGGAGAGGTTTCAACTTTATACCTCTCTCACACGAGCAGGAGAGGTTTCAACTTTATACCTCTCTCACACGAGCAGGAGAGGTTTCGTGACTCAAGACTTACCAGTATCGTGTATTAAAACTATAACTTCATTGGGCTCCTGAGTCCGAATTTTATGAATTTGAGCCGTGTCTAAAATCTGCCAAAATCCGGTTTTAATTGAGCACTGGTTTAAATCTTGAAACATGGAATACAATTTTAAGCGGAACCAACCATATTTGAGCCGACTCAAAATATTTAAGCCGCGGCTCAAATTCTTTAAATTCGGCCTCTGGTTCCATAATTTCAATGCTAGAATCTATATAGAATATAAACTTTGTTTTTTTTGTCTGTCTGTCTGTTTGTTAATGTCCAATAAACGTCAAAATGGCTGAACCGATTGGGCCCAAAATTTTTGAGGCAACTCACGTGACCACAGAAAAGGGTAATGGATGCTCATATTTACAAAAATTGGCCTCCAAAAATTTCGATATGATCGTTAAATTTGGAAAGTCCACAAACATTTATTATAAAATTCCCGGATTTGTTTTGTTATTATTTTATATTGTACATAGAATTTCAGGTTTCTTGGTTCCTATGCTAGAATATTCCTATGATTAGAATTCTTTGTTCCATGGTTCCTATGCTAGAATAATTCTGTGATTAGAATTCCTTGTTCTATGGTTCCTATGCTACAATATTCATATAATTAGAATTCCTTGTTCCATGGTTCCTATGCTAGAATATTCATATAATTAGAATTCCTTGTTCCATGGTTTCTATGCTAGAATATTCATATAATTAGAATTCCTTGTTCCGTGGTTCCTATGCTAGAATACTTTTGTGATTAGAATTCCTTGTTCCATGGTTCCTATGGTAGAATATTCATATAATTAGAATTCCTTGTTCCGTGGTTCCTATGCTAGAATATTTATATAATTAGAATACTCCTAGGATTAGAGTTTCAGGTTTCTTGGTTCCTATACTAGAATACTTCTGTGATTAGAGTTCTTAGTTCAATGGTTCCTTTGCTAAGAATATTACTAATAATAGAGTTCCAGGTTCCATGGTTCCTATGTTTGAATTTGCATATGGTTCCTATGCTAGCATATTTCTAGGATTTTAGTTCCAGGTTTCATGGATCCTAGCTATACTAGAATATCCCCCCCTTTCTATTGTCCTCCTGCACTTTCTGCAGTATAGAATTAGACATGATTTAATTTGGAAGATTGAAATTTCTTATTATATTCAATCTGAAGCCGGACACTTTCATTCATTGTTTACACTTTTTTTCCAAGTTCTAAGAAATGAGCGAAATGTGAGAAAAGACGTTAGGAAGAGAGGACCGGAAGATGGTGATTTCCCCGCGCGCGCATTCTTAGGCGCGTCTAGAACAGGTTCAAGGAGCAGATTACTTGCCCCAGAGGCTTTAATCAATAATGGCTACCCCAATCAACAAGAGCGTCCCTCTTTTATATTTAAAATTTGCTTTAATGACGACCTGAAACACAATGTGAAGGCTTTAATGACGACCTGAAACACAATGTGAAGGCCTTGTGAATTGTGTGCAGTCGTCTCTGAGTTCTCATTCTTTGTACTTTGTGTGTTTGACTTTGATCAGGTCTATCGTTTTCATATTTTTTGGGCAAAAATAAACATCTATAAAGAGTCCTATCTATATAACAAAGCTCTTCGCTCATATATAGCCGGCCTAACGGCAGTAACAAATGGGCTAAATTTTTTGAGGGAACTCGGGGGATAACAACAAAAAAAATCTTTTTTTCAAAAACCATTTTTTCTTCTTCAAAGTTAGTTTTTTTTTAAATTCCACATGCAACGCCGGGCAATTCAGCTAAGTTCGTCTATAAACCTGCAGGATTAGTAAACTATAGATAGATAAACCTGTAGGACTAGTAAACTAGAGATAAATAAACCTGTGTTCGTCTATAAACCTGTAGGATTAGTAAACTATAGATAGATAAAACTGTAGCACTAGTAAACTAGAGATAAATAAACCCAAGTTCGTTTATAAACCTGTAGGATTATTAAACTAGAGATAAATAAACCTATGTTCGTCTATAAACCTGTAGGACTAGTAAACTAGAGATAATTAAAGCTAAGTTCGTCTGTAAACCTGTAGTATTATTAAATTAGAGATAAATAAACCTAAGTTTGTCTATAAACCTGTAAGATAAGATAAGATAAGATAAAGTTTATTGCTAAAATAATAGGATTATAGGATAATAGGATTAGTAAACTAGAGATAAATAAACCTAAGTTCGTCTATAAACCTGTAGGATTAGTAAACTAGAGATAAATACACCTAAGTTTGTCTATAAACCTGTAGGATTAGTAAACTAGAGATAAATAAACCAAGTTCGTCTATAAACCTGTAGGATTAGTAAACTAGAGATAAATAAACCTAAGTTCGTCTATAAACTAAACTAGATATAAATAAACCTGAGTTCGTCTATAAACCTGTAGGATTAGTAAACTAGAGATAAATAAACCTATGTTCGTCTATAAACCTGTAGGATTAGTAAACTAGAGATAATTAAACCTAGTTTTCAGAGTTCAACACTGTTCAATTAAGATAAACAAACGACCATATCTTCCTCATTGCTACTCAGATACGGGTTAAAAAGGAAACCTTTGTGAATAAGACATGCCACTATTTTTTTGTAGTGTCACATAAAATTACGCCTTCCATCTCTTTAATATTATAAACCAAGCCAAATGATCAAAACCCATCATACTTCCTGCAACTCACGATTCTCAACTTTTTGCTCTCAGCCTAGTTTTTGTTGAATTTGAATGAATTATCAAAGAATTATCACTAATCCCTAAAACAGGAAGGAAACATCAGCCTAACGTCTGGGTTCTCTGCCTCGTATTTCCGTAAGGACAGTTGGATACAGGGAGGATGTAAATTTATTCCCATAGAAACCCAACTGTTACAGACACACAACTGTTACGCTATCCAAACCTGAGAAAATCCGTTAAAAGAAGCAAAGATTACGGAAGCGGGGTATTTCCTGGGACCCGGAGTCACCTGACACGGGGTGGAAGAGCAGAAGAGGTGACCAACCGTCCTTCTCTTCTCGTGGCTGGAGCAAGTTCAAATTATGGGGTATTACAGGGTTGGGTCCTGTTTCCTCAATTATCCTTGGATTGAATGGGGCCGGGTTGATTTAATTTTCCCGCCACAGGTGTTTATAGAACATCCTACTTCCAGCTTAATAATCCGATTCTTTGAGCCTGGATTATTCGGATTTTCTTGAACTTAGGATCTGCTCATTTTTCTTACAGTAAGAACCAGAAAACAATGGAATAGGAAGACGACATTATAGCAATACTAATTCGTGTATTTAATTTTGTTAAAAAGTAAATAGTTTTACTAGACACTTATTAAATCAGTGAACTGGGTCTGTTTCACCAGCAAATTGAACTTT